CTCAGAAGAAGTGAGGTCTATATTACCGGATAAGGGTGTCAAGGAATCATTGTTAGGAATATCAGCGGATTGTACCGTCACTCATCGAACGCTTGGTATAGAATGGGATGTCGTACACGACGTATTCAAGTTCCACTTTGACGCACCAGATAAACCAGTGACAATGAGAGGAATTTTGTCTTTTGTTTCGTCTCTGTTCGATCCGTTGGGTCTGATCGCTCCAGTGTGTCTCACAGCTAAGCTACTTCTGCAAGGATTATGTAAATCCCAAATAGGATGGGATCAACCTCTCAAAGAACCATACGTGTCCAAATGGTTAGATTGGTTAAGTTTCATGCGTCAGATGGGTCATGTCACAGTTACCCGAGGTATTAAGAATAGAATCGACGAAACTGATGCGAAGGTGGAGTTGCACCTATTCAGTGATGCTTCAGAGATTGGTTATGGGGCGGTTGCTTACGCTCGGGTAAGTTATGCAAAGGTACAACCTTACTGTGTCCTGTTATACAGCAAGTCTAGGGTAGCACCTATTAAACAAGTCACGATACCGAGGTTAGAAATGGCGGCAGCAGTCTTAAGTGTAAGATTTAGCGAGGTAATACGGAAAAGTCTGCCCAACTTCTTCTGTGGAGTGAGTTTTCATACGGATTCCATGATAGTATTATACTATATTAAAAATGCTGAAAAGCGGTACACCAGCTACATAGCTAACCGTCTTGCTGTTGTTCATCAGTATACCAGTATTGAGCAATGGAGTTATGTAAGCTCGTCACAGAATCCTGCAGATGGGACTTCAAGAGGCATACAAAGGATGAATGATCTAGAGACTTGGTTTAAATGTCCGACACTGCTGTACAATGACTCAAGTACCACCACTTACTGCCCAGAACCTACTATGGACCAAGTCGAGTTCAGAAAAGCTACGGTCAATTTGAGTAGCACGGCTAACACTCCGTCACCTATCTTGTCTTATTACTCGGAATGGATGAAATTGGTGAGGGCTGTAGCGTGGCTCAGAAGGTTCATAGACTTCTGGATAATACTTCACTCGCCGAGTATTGAAGGCTCCGTCACGACAGGTTGCCTAAAGGTCAAGGAGCTTGAGTCAGCCAAACGGAAGGTCCTGATGGTTGTTCAAAAGGAGGCATACGGAGAATTACTGAACGAATCCAACGTTAGTCATAAAGAAGTGAGTAATAAACGTCTGAGAGGTTTAGCACCAATAATGATTGATGGGTTACTCTGCGTCGGAGGTCGCCTAATGTACTCCGAACTCCCGAGCGAGTCGAAACATCCTGTAACCGAATTGATAATTAGACACTATCACAAGGAAGAAGGACATATGGGAACTTCGCATGTGTTAGCTACGATCCGCAAGTATTATTGGATAGTTAAGGGCACCAGCACGGTTAAAAGAGTAATAGGAAAGTGTGAAACTTGTCGAAGGTTCACTTTGTGTCCAGGGAATCAACAGATGGCACCACTCCCAGTTTACAGAGTGCAGAAGGGTTGGTATAGTTTCGCGACGACAGGTGTGGACTACTTCGGACCTCTTCTGGTCAAGAGAGGTAGGTCACTAGAAAAAAGATATGGTTGTGTGTTTACCTGCCTGCAGACAAGAGCAGTACATATTGAGATGGCGTACAGTCTGAATACCGATTCATTTATAATGGCTTTAATACGTTTTATCGGAAGAAGAGGGAGACCGACAGATGTGTTTAGTGACAACGGATCAAACTTCGTGGGGGCAGTCACTGAACTAAAGAGCTTCGTGCAACAGTGGAATCATCAGAAAATTAGTAAGGAATTATCGTCAAGACAAATTCAATGGCATTTCAACCCTCCACTAGCCAGCCATAGAGGTGGAGTCTGGGAACGAATGATTAGATCTATACGAAGGCTGCTATTATTGATCACCAGGGAACAAGTGTTAACAGACGAAACCTTAGGTACGTATCTGATTCAAATTGAGAGAATTCTAAACGATCGACCCCTAACCCCGGTAGTCCAGGATGCTAACGACCGACTAGCTCTATCACCAAATAGCCTACTGTTATTGAGAGAATGTGACGGAATAGCTGAGGAAGGAAGTATTAGTGACAAGTTCCACAAACGTTGGAAGCAGGTAAATTACTTAGCCAATGTGTTTTGGAAAAGGTGGTTAAAGGAGTATTTGCCTTCCTTACAAACCCGTCAGAAATGGCTAAAGGAGCATCGCAATTTTCAGAAAGGAGACGTAGTTATTGTCGCCTCGGATATTACTACTCGTGGAAAATGGCCCTTAGGGATAGTAAAGGATTGCGAGACAGATAAGGACGGAAAGGTCAGGACAATAGTCGTTCGTACTAATAACGGGGTAGCGAGAAGAGACATACGAAAGGTGTGTCTCCTAGAAGGTTCCAACTAGATAGGTTATATCCACATTGAAAACGGGTAGGCGTACTGCTGTAAGTCCTATTCGTTATTTCGGTGTGGATTAGGGAATGAGTGGGAACCCTAAATTGAAGTGTCATTAACGCTTGCTTTTTTGCATGGAGGGATTTTGCGGGCCGGTGTAGAATCCTTTTTGAATGTTTTGTTTTTTGGAAAATCCCTCCATGTTTACATATTTTTGTTATGACATGACGGACATTTTTGTTGACATTTTTGGTATTTTATTTGATTCCAATTTGAGATTTTATCATTGTATATTATTATTATTTCTATATTTTGTACTTATATTGAAGTTTTTGTGTTTGCTTCTGATCTGTATATATGTTGTTTAAATTTGATCTTTAATATGGCTACAGCCATATTTGGATTGATACAGTAGCTGTTGGACTTAACGTCACTTATTTATCGTTGTTTCGGATACTCTTCGGAGTAATTGTAACCTGGAAGGTGTATTAATTCCAGACCGCTTTCTCTTAGAATTTTTGCTTTATCTGGACCTTGGACTGGGAGAAACGAGTTCAGGAGTGCACTAATTGGAACCCATTGGAACTGCCACCGTAGAAATCCATTTACAGTGGGTTCGGTGGAGCTAGCCGATTCAAGAGTTTCTCAAAGTGCTCTACCCATCTGTTTTGCTGTTCTTCAGTGCTACTGGTTACTTTGCCTTCCTTGCATTTCACTGGTCGTTCTGGTTCACGATAGTTTCCAGACAGCTTCTTTGTTGTATCGTACAATTGTCTCATATTTCCTTCTCTTGCAGCCTTTTCCGCCGTCACTGGTAGGTGATTCTTATATTTTCGTTTGCAGCTCTGATGATCCTCCTAACTTGCTTGTTTGCTTCTGTGTATTCACTTTATGCCTTGACTACCTCTGCTCTTGTTCGGGTGATACTGAATGCTGCCTTCTTGTTTCTCATTTCTTCAATTTTTTCAAGAGTACCAACAGAAATCCAATCTTTGTGATGGTGCTTCTTGTGACCCGGAACCTCCTGACATGTTGAAGTGATTGCCACCTTAATACCTTTCCAATTGTTCTCAAAGGTTGTTCCCTCTCCATTGAGTATATCGTGCAAGGTCTGGAACTAGTTGCTGAGGGCTATCTTGAATTCGTTGAGTTTTACGGTATCCCAAAGAAAGGCCATATTAAACTTGTGCGATGTTGTCTGCCCCGTTGTCCAGTGCTACCTGAGTTTCGGTTTCGTTTTGCGACCAGCAAGTGGTGATCTGAGTCTATATCAGCCCCTCTCCTGATTCTCACATCCTTCATGGTCCTTCTGAACTTTTTATTGATACAGATATGGTCAATATGGTTCTGAGTAGTCTGGTCCGGTGAAATCCATGTAGCTTTGAGTAGGTGTTTGTGTGAGAAAATTGTGCCACCGATGACCGGTGTGTTGAAGGCACATAGGTTTGCAAATCTCTCACCGTTTTCGTTGCTTTCTCTCAGTCCATATCGTTCCATGATGTTTTCCTATCCGGCGTTTACCATGCCAACCTTGGCATTTAGGTCTCCCATCAGAATGGTCAAATCCTTTAATGGGCATCTGTCGAAGACTGACTGCAGCCTTTCGTAGAATTGATCTTTAACGTCGTCAGTGTAATCACTGGTAGGTGCAAAGCATTGAATGACGTCTATTGTAATGCCCTCTTTCTCTGTTTTGAGGGGTGCTTTAATGATAATGAGTCCATGAGATTCCCATCCAGTCAGTGCCTTTTGTGCTTGTTTCGACAACGTCAGTGCAACTCCTTGTATATGTGATGTATTTTCTTCTTCACGACCAGAGTATAACAGCAGTTCCCCTGAAGCTAGTCTCAGTTGTCGTGCCTGTGTCCAATGGGTTTGACAGATTCTAAGCACCTCCAAGTCGTGTCTTTTCATTTCTGCAACAACTCGGAATAGTCTTCCAGTCTCCCACAATGTTTGAAAATTCAATGTACCTAAAAGAATGGTTGATCTGGTTATGAGGATGGGGACTGACCTCGTGACTTCTGAAGGAACTCGGCTTTCATCGCGAGACGTCATAATTCGTCTGAATGAAGACCTTCTAACTCTCACGGCAGAGTCAAAATGGTTTGGATTATTTGTTCTGGTTGGCGTTTTTTATCGAGTTGGTTTTTTATGGGGTGGGGTCGCCAACCCCATGCCTAAGCCATACCACACCAAGCTGATCTTCACCACTCCCAAATAACCTCACTGCGAAATTCACCTGCTTGAATTAGTGAAGTTTTGATACCTTAGCTGTTGAAGTTCGTCTCGGTTTCAGAGATGCGGGATAGCTGTTATATTTCTTGATAGACACAAGAAATCAAGAGTTATGATTTATCAGGAAAATAGTAAGGGCCAAAAGTTTATAGTGAAGAGTAGGCTCTCCCACCATCTAGTCGAGGATTCCATGGAACCAATAACTACTCAGTCCAGCCAAGTTTCAGTTTCGTTGTTGTAAGTCTCACAGAAAGAAATCAAAAAACAAAGTTTTTATAATTTTTCCTAGTTCAATCTTGAATAGTCTACATTTTTTTTCAGTTTTTGACAAGTGCATATATCCTGTCTCTTTTTGTTTGTATGAACTCAAATCACCATATTTTTTGATCTGCATTGTTGCGCTACCTTATTTTGGATTTGGCTGCAATTAATCTTAATTTATTGGCTTTCGGATTAGATACATAATGTGGAATGTAAATATAGTGTAACACTCAACCCGAAACTTGTCAAAAAATTGTGATGAGGCCCAAAAGAAACGATATCAGGTATTTCGCCTTTTCATTTATTACTTGTAGAATTTCCCGTAAATTTGTACCAAATCCTGGAGCATTAAAGGCGACTAAAAGGGACAGACATATCCGGTCTATAAGGTATTTCCAATACATAACCACTTCGAGCCCTAACAGTGCAAGGTCCAAGTCAAAAAACGATGACGACGAAATCCTGACCACGTGAGTATTGTTTTCATTCTTTACTTATTTCAGAAAACCTAGGAATGAGGTTGCTAGTGTCAAGGATAATCGTAATTCTGAGAGAAAAAATCTGAAAAACCCTGCAGTTCCTGATTCAGGCTCCAGTATGAAAACGAAAGCCATGCCAGATCCAAAGCGAAAGCCTACAGATACAGGTGATAGCCGTCTAGCATTATCTGAACAGAAGCGCAAACGTTCGGGGGCGGAAAATTATATCAACAAAAGATTTTTGTATGACGTTGTAGAGCCTCCTAAGCGCAACCGCCAGAAAAAGTTCTTACACTTACCAAACCGGTCAACAGCGGCTCTCATGGCCGTTTCTTCTGCCAACCTTCTGAAAAAACACAAGTCAAAACTTGGTGTCTCTGGTCAAATATCCAGTGAACGTGATCTATTCTCCCATGTTAGAAGTCGACATGGTCGACGTCTCAAACCAAAACATGAGTACAGTCCCTCTCAATCAGCTGACGAATATCACATCTTGGAACAACCTCCCTCCACTGACAGTAGCTGGAGACCCATCAAGAAAAACAAAGTCTTAACACAAGCAGCAAAATCACGACCTGATCACAAGTCAGACACCACCAACTATCTCAAACGTGACAAATACGATAAAGACTATTACTCATCGGATGAAGATCAGGGAGGTAGTGAACTTGGAGGAATCCTCTCACCTAAGACATATGTAAGCAACCATCTTTCCTAAAACTTTTCGAGCATGTTTTAGTGTTCTTGATGTCACACTCATTTAGTAGGCCTCTTTTATTATGTTATAAGACGTTTCTGTGAAAAGTATTTTTCTCGCTTTGCTTAAGTGTCTAACATAATATACTGGTTTTTATTTAACTGTTTTTAGAAGTAGATAAATGTCTACCAATGCGCTGTCTAGTTACAATTTTTGTAAGATCCAACTATTAGTTTACGCTAGTTACTCCAGCTACTCTACCCGTAGTAGCACACGAGACCGAAATGGTCTCAATCAAATCCTTCCTATACCTCATTATAACCCTCTTATCTCCACGGCTAACCACTCTTTTATTACTTCATCATCTTCGCGCCGCCGATGCAAACGACTCGAATACACGAGACGTTATTCTTAGTCTTACAAAATCACTCTCTATACATGCTCTATAAATGTTCGCAATATGTGCCAAATGGGACAACATGCTTCTTTAACTAGGACTCTAGAATGTTTACAGTCAGCCTTGTCAGCTTGTCGCGTGTGACTTACAAAATACCTGTCTTCAACCAATGGGCAATTATACTCAGCAATCTTCTGTTTTATGCTCCTATATGCAGAAAATGTTTTTAAGCTACAGGTCTTCGACCGTAGATACCATCTAAACATTGCCGGTATATCGTGAAGCGACTGGATAACCAAGACAGATGCAGGGTACTAGGTAAATGTGGCTCATCGGTTAATTGAGTTGTTCATCTTCATCGACCAAAGTAGCACAGATACAAAGGGCTCGATTGGCTTTGCCAACCTGCGTCACTTATGGCGTAGGAGAGATATCCGTCTACCAACCAAAGGATGGGTTAACTGCGCAGCAGTTCACTCTGTCCTACGATATGGATACGAAACATGGCCGGTAAGAGTAGGAAACATTCGTAGGTTGCTGGTTTCGGTCGTAAGCGTCTCCGAAGGATTGCTCGTGTATCGTGGGACAACCGAGTAAGCAATGATTTGGTTAGGAATCGATTACTAGGTAAGGAGGGAAGATCAGATGAATTGCTGAAACTTCACCAGTTGAGGTGGCTGGAACATGTGTTACGAGTGCCTAACCACCGACTGCCTCGACGATCTATGTGTAGGAATAGGTTGGAAGAATGCTAAGGGTGGCCAAACCAAAACATGGCGAAAATCCATGAAGTCATTGACGAGTGGACTTAGCCATGTCGGTAATTGTCGATTACCTGGTTGGTGTCCGTGAGACGATGGTAACGGATGGTTAGATACCTTGAACGACATGGCTGAAAATCGTTTGCAGTGGCGCAGGTGCATCTACTCAAAACGTCTTCTGAATTTCTCATCACCTCTATCTTTCACTTCTCAAATTTTTCCCACTAGATTATACTTTTGAATAATATCTTCGAACCCTAATCAATCTGATTACCACTTATACTTCTACTACGTCTACCACTATGGGATTTGAACTAGCAGTTGCATCTGTGTGCTAGTGTGGTATGACCACCTGAACTGATGTACGTACGTACGAAGTTCTTCGTTGTAACTGACTGACTGACCAAAGTAGCTGGCATTGATATTAAGAATACCTAACAACTGTGCATTGTTGGAGTAAAAACGAGCCTCTCTAACCAAAATGTTCAATCAGTCCGTGAAGCCACTGACTGCCGACTTGTTCGGTCGATGGCTCGAAACTGGTCAGGGATTCATTCACTTCGCCTTAGATAATCAATTTCAAAGCCATTTGTACCCTTTACTCTTCAGATCCGTTCTCTTAATTCATTTGATGTCCTGACTATAGACGACACCACTACTTCTGTTACTATTCATCCAGTTGGTTTCATCTCCATTTTGTGATAGGACAACTATGACACATTTGTGTCGGGCCTTAGGTTAATTACAGGTAGCTAACTTTATCAGAATGTAGTAAGTACAACATATAAAGCCGCGCAAAAGCCGGTGCTCGTGTTTAGCTCTGAAGTTTTTTAAACTCATTCTTTTTACACGTTTAATTTCACTCCACTTACATGGCAGGAATCCATGAAATCACTGACAAGTGGACTGAGTCATGTCGGTAGATGTTGGCTATCTGGTTTGGGTCCGCGATACGAAATTAACCAATGGTTAGAGACCTTGAACGACATGGCTCAGAATCGTTTGCAATGGCGCAAGTGCATCCACTCTTTGTGTTCTATGAAATTCTAACCTTCTGAATTCCTCATCATCTCTATCTTTCTCCTTCTAAACTTATCTCACTGAATTATACTTTTCGAATCATATCTTCGCTCCCTAATCTTCTCCATTGCTGCTAATAATTCTACTATCACTATAACTCTTGGATTTGAACTGACAGTTTCGTCTCTGTGCTGATGTGGTAAGGCAACCTGAACTGATGTACTTATGTACGAAGTTGTGCGTTGTATCTCTCTGTCTGTCCACTTACTGAAGATAAGACAGTGATATCTGAAGATGAATTCATTAAGTCATCATTTAGGATATTTGAATAACTCGTTTGGTTTATAAACATAAGTGAAAGCTTTTATTTTGTAAACATCTGGAAAGTAGTTGAAACTACATTTCGACGCTCTAGCTTAGTGGCTAAAGCGTTAAGTACTTAACTACTAACCCACCTCTGTGCTACGCTTCCAAGAGTAAGTTACTGAGTGCTTACGTATCAGTTTAACAGAACTAAAGTTTTCTCAGCTTATGAAAACTCTAACGTTTGTACGAACAAAAGTTTTGGGTAACTTTTGTTCACTTAAATCCTAGTTCTACTAGTGTGATTTTGATTTTGAAATTACTATTTTTGTGTTAAAAAAACTTTCACTTTTTTGGTAGTACCCTGATGCATCGTGTATATCAACTTATTCTGACATGTTCAGTGAACTTCAAAAACCAGAACAGCTTATTCACAGTCAGCACCCAGATACTATGGAGAATCTTAGAAGACTGGAATCATCTAAATTGAAGAATCGTTCCAACCTAAGACGTGTACTCAGTCCAAGCGGCAACCAAAAAGGTTAGTTATTTAAACTGTAACTATTTATTAACCTATTTTGATCATTTGAAGTATTATCGAGTTTGGCCAACGCTTCGATTATCTGCAAAACCCTCCGGATTCGACTACATCAACACCTGAACTGGTGATGAGCAATAAACTCACTGAATCCGTTCACCACTTCATTTGTCTAAACGGTTTAATCAACCTTGTAGGTTTTGTTGTTTGCCAACTCGCGTCACTTGAGGTGTAGATGAGATACCTGTATACTAACTAAAACTTTTTAAACTCTCACAGAGATACATTTTGGAAGACTCGCTATTATCTGTAAAACCAACTCCGTTTGATATTTGGTTGGAACAAAGGCTGTAGCTAAATCGTTTATATCAAACTGCAAAGGACCAGACGTTCGCTAACTACCAAAATGTAAAATAAACCGTGACCAAAGTCCAGTTAGGTTGCTCCAAAAGGACCAAAAGTCTTTTAAACAAACACACTAGCAGTGGCTGATGGCGATGTCATGGGTCTGAGTCCAAGCTTGAGTCACACAGAGACGGTATCAGGTAGCATATCGACGATTATTTTGCCGAGTCAGTCAGTCAGTCAGTCAGATGCAACGTAGAACTTTGTACATAAGTACATCAGTTCATGTTGCCATACCACATCAGCACAGAGAAGTAATCGTCAATTCAAATCCAATAGTAGAAGAGGTAGTAAGGGAATTAGAAATAATCGGAGGTTAGGATAAGAAGGTACTATTCAAGAAGTATGATTCAGTGAGAAAAGTTTAGAGAGTCGAAACTAGAGGGGTCGAAGAATCCAGAAGATTAGCATTTGAGAGAACACAGAGAATAAATGCACCGGCGCCATTGCGAACGATTCTGAGCCATGTCATTCAAGGTCTCTAACCATCGATCATTATCATCTCGCGGACCCCAACCAGGTAGTCGACAATTACCGACATGGCTCAGTCCACTAGTCAATGACTTCACGGATTTCTGCCATGTTTTGGTTTGGCCGCCCCTAACTTTCTTCCAACCTATTCCCACAGTACAAAACAAGGCTCGACGAGGCAGTCGGTGGTTGGGCATACGCAACACATGTCCCAACCACCTCAACTGGTGAAGTTTCACCACTTCATCGATTGATCTGCCATTCTTACCTAGCACCCGTTTCCTAATAACAGCGTTGCTCACTCGGGTGTCCCACGATATATGAGCAATGCTTCGAAGACACCTATGATCGAAAACCAGTAACCTACGAATATCTTCTACTCTCATTGGCCATGTTTCACAGCCATAAAGTAGAACGGAGCGAACTACTGCGCAGTACACTCGTCCTTTAGTCAGCAAACGGATATCTCGCCTACGCCATAAGTGACGCAGGTTGGCAAAAGCAAATCGAGCCTTCTGTATCCGTGCTGAGATTTCGTCAGTCACCAGGCCACCGGCACTGATGAGACTCCCAAGATAAGTGAAGCGGTCTACACGTTCGACTACTTCACTCCCTATCACTAGTTCAGGTGCCGATGCAACCCAGTCTTGAAGCAACATTTTGCATTTCGAGGGGGAAAACCGCATCCCGAACATGCTTGCATTGTTGCTTAGGGTAGTCATAAGACTCTGCATTTTGTCAGCGTCTTCACCAAGTAGGACAATGTCATCGGCATATTCTAAGTCAATAAGCGAGCCACCTGGTAGAAGGTCTACTCCTGAAAATTCAGCCGAGGATAATGTTAACTCTAGGAGCATGTCTATGATAAAATTAAACAAGATTGGAGAAAGTGGACATCCCTGACGGACACCACTTGATGTAGAGAATTCCGGTGACAGTTCGCCATAAGCCCTCACTCGACCAGTGGTGTTCGAGTAAAGAGCTTGTATAAGGTTAATGTACTTCTTTGGTACACCTTTCAATGACAGACACTGCCACAGAACCTTACGATCAACAGAGTCAAATGCCGCCTTAAGGTCTAGGAAAACAACTATTGTAGGACGCCTAAATGTATGTCTATGTTCCAGGACCTGTTGTAGTGTGAAAATGTGGTCTATACAGCCACGTCCAGGTCGAAAACCAGACTGGTTTTCTCGAGTCTGCTCTTCACGAGCTTTCGTTAAGCGTCGAAGTATTATTGAGGCCAATATTTTAGATACTATATTAGTTAGACTTATTCCCCTGTGATTGTCACAAGAAGACTTCTGTCCTTTCTTATAGATTGGGACAATCAAGGATTGAGACCAGTCGGATGGGATTACGTCCAGTTCCCAGATTCTACCTAAGATCTCAGTCAACCTAGCTGATAAAACTGGACCACCATCTTTAAATATCTCAGGGGTCAGTCTATCAGGACCTGCAGCTCGTCCTCGTTTCAGATTTCCTAACGCTTTCTCAACGTCATTAAGACTAGGGGGACTTAGGTCGATTTGCCATTCAGGATGACTGGAGATCGTGGGTAACCGAAGAGTGGCTCGTGGCCAGTTGAACTGATCCCTAAAGTGTTCTGCCCATCGATCCAGTCTCCTGGATTGAGAATGGATAATAAGACCATCCTTTTCCGAGATAGTCTCACTCACATTCGGGACATGTGCTGCGTATGCCTAGCCACCGACTGCTTCGACGAGCTAGGTTTTGTAGTGTAGGAGTAGTTACGCAGACTTTTTATAAGTCTGCGCCTAAGCTGACTACGCTCTTCATCATGCTCAGAGTCAGGTGGGATGCGTTTTCGAGCATCCATCAGTTCGGTGGATGCGACTGAAATCCACGGCTTCATCCTAGCCTCATGGTTTACCTTCCTAGCAGATATCACTGCTGTTTCCACAGCCTTTTTGATATCATACCAACCTGCTTCTGGATGGGAATCGCTTGCATGGTTGCTTAACTCTCTTTCTAGTTGCTCCTGAAATATTTTCTTGGTTTGATTATCATTAAGTAAAACCCTGAGAGGCTTTCTTACGGTGTCTTTCCTACGTCCAGTAAGCCTTAAACAGATACGAGCTCGCACTAGAGCATGATCTGAATCCAAACATGTGCTCCAGAACGAGCGACAGTCTTCTATCGAACCCCTCCATCGGTGGCTGATGGCGATGTGATCTAGTTGAGTCCAACGTTGAGACGACTTTGGAGGTCGCCAGGTCAACAGATGCTTTTCCTTATGCCTAAAGTTGGTGTTCGCTAAGAATAGGCGGTTATCTGAGCATAGTTGCAACAGACGGTCGCCATTGTCTGTTCTCTCAGTCGCTACACCATAACATCCACCAAGATGTCTTTCCTTTTCACCTAGTCTACCTACTTGAGCATTAAAGTCACCAGCCATTATTACTATGTCAGAGCGCTTAGCTTTTTGGAGGAGGTCCGAAAGCTTTCTGTAAAACTCATCTTTAACCTCGTCTGCACTGCAGTCAGTGGGGGCATAGGCAGATATGACGAAGAGGCAACGGCGAGTGTCCCTATCCTTACGAGTCCTTACTGTCCCGTTTAGTCGGACAGCGCACAAACGACTATCTACTGGGATCCAGTCTAGGAGAGATTGTTCTGCCCTAGGACTTAACGCTATGCCTACGCCAGCAAGACCCCTGGAAGCAGCATCAGGGCTACCGGATACCCGAAGAGTAAATCGAGCTGCTTCTTCGTTTTGACAAGGTGGAATCAGGTTAATGACTTTACTAGGATCCTGTATGCGCGTTTCCGAGACGCAGCATACATCGATGGCACGAGTTTCTAAAGTCCTAGCTAATGATGCCTGTTGCCCTATTTGACACAATGTCCGTACATTAAAAGCTCCAACATGTAGTCTAGAACGGGGTTTCAAGAGACCAGGAACGACGTTTCGTGATCTCGCTTCGTCTGCATTAGCGGTGCAGTGAGAAAAGGGAGTGTGAGTACAGTTAGTCGTAGAGATAAGAGAGACATGAGGGGGTGTAGGAAGGATTTGATTTTGACCAATTTGGTCTCGCGTGCTGGTACGGGTATGAGGGCGGTTGTCACTTCCCGGCTGCCCACACCGTGGAAGGTTGTTTCTTGAGGAACCTGAAAAGGAAGATAGATTAGTGTTGGTGCGTGACCGCAGAGCCCAAGGGACAACTGCTTGAGGCCGGTCACGCACGGCCTTTTTATGAAATGTTTTTTGAGGATTAGCTCCGTTCTTAAAGGCCCTTAACGGGCACCCTTACCCAAGGAGACGGAAATCCGTGAGGTAGGGGAGGTTTGACATTTTTAGGGCCGACCTTTTCTAACCCTTCCTTCCTTGTGAGAAGGCAGCATCGCTGCAGATGCTGGTTGTCCGAGGGAAACACCTTACTGCTGTCACACCCCTCTGCAGTAGTCAGCAGTACGACTTCGCCCTCAGACCTTGCGTAGCTTGCTTTTAGTCTCATTGTTCTCCAATCGACCTGTCTGGCATGGTAGAACCTCCAGGAATATATGTTCCAGCCAGTATAGCTCGGTTGGGTCATCACGATCGGTAAGCCCGACCACCACGTCAAGGTAGCAGCTTCGGTCGGGTTATTTTGCCGAGAGTTGATGTTGGTCAGAAACAGGTCTACTCAAAGCTGCAATAGATATTCAATGTTATCTGACCTATTACCAATGAATCCTCATATCTGTCGTACGGCCTCCCTCGAAGTCACTTAACCTATAATGGAACTGATACTTGATTACGCTTGGGCTTTGATCAGTAGTCTGTTGGGGTATTGGATAAGATAAAGAAAATACATCATTCCCCATACTGATTTCTTATCTAACAACACATAAATTACTGTTAGTGGAGATCCTGTCGATTAGCTGCGTCTTTCTTTAGCTTTTACTTATGAGACCAATGTCAGCTAGTCCAGGAAAAGATACCACAAGGTGCTCAAATAATTGCACATGAAACAAGCTTTTTGACTGGACAGATGAAAAGCAATCGTGTAGCAATTCGCTAGTCTTAGATATACGAATTGAATGCACAACAAACAGATTTAAGGATCTGCCAAGAAATGTACTCAGATCTACATTTTGTTTGAATCCAATTATTTCCAATTCTTAGTTATTTCTTAAACAAAAACTTCAGTAGATCTATCTTACTAAGACATTTTGGGGGCTAAAACAGTACCAATAACATGATGAAATGCTTTTATATATAGTATGTAATCGAGCAGACCACCTAGCTGAAGTCCCAACGATAACTGCCATCATCGGCTACAAACTTTTAGGTAACTGGACTTTTGAAATCTATTGCGACTGCCTAGAGATGCATTCATTCCATTTTTCCCTAAATCTCTAGTCTCAATCATACTTCATGCATTTAATCTCTGATTTACACTCCTTTTTTTCCAAATCACATTTTCAATGTCCTAGTTTCTTAATATCATTTATGTTACTATGGTTACTTCGATATCTCTATGCTCACTTACTTACTTACTTACTTACGCCTGTTACCCCCTATGGAGAATAGGCTGCCCACCAGTTTTCTACAACCAACTCTATCCTGAGCTTCCCTCTCCAGTTCTGTCCAATGTTTGTTCACTCTTCGCATGTCTTTCTCTATTTCTCGGCGTAATGTGTTCCTTGGCCTTCCTCTTTTCCTTTTGCCTTGAGTGTTCCATGTGTGGGCTTGTCTCGTGACGTAGTTGGGTGCTTTTAGTAGTGTGTTTCCTATCCACAAACTCCACCACTTCTTCCTGATTTCCTCCTCCACTGGAATCTGGTTTGTTCTCTCCCACAGTACGTTGTTGCTAATAGTGTCTGGCCAACGAATCCGATGTATTTTGCGTAGACAACTGTTCATAAACACTTGTATCTTCTCGATGATGGCTTGAGTAGTTCTCCAAGTCTCCGCTCCATACAGTAGAACTGTCTTGACATTTGTATTGAAAATCCTGATTTCGGTTTTGTTTGAAAGTTGATTGGAGTTCCAGATATATTTAAATTGTAGAAATGCAGCCTTTGATTTGCCAATCCGCGCCCTTACATCTGCATCGGATCCACCTTTCTCGTTGATGATGCTGCCAAGATATGTCCTCCATGGCATCTGCATCAAGAGTGATTTGGTTGGTGCATGTTGTGTTGCATCAGAGAATTTTGCTTTTTCCTTTATATATCTTGAGACCTACTGCTGCAGAGGCTGCTGCTACACTGGTGGTCTTCTCTTGCATTTGTTGTTGCGTGTGCTATAGAAGAGCCAGATCGTCCAGCTGCACCATGTTAATTTCAATTTGCTTTGATGACGTTGTAAAACAATTTTGTTGGCATATTTGTGCATATTAGTTTTGTAACTTTGAATTGAATGACTTCTTTTTTTTATTTTTGCTATTTCTCAACCAAATGCTCCACAATGAACTTTTTCTTACAATATTTAAGGTAAATTTCACTTTGTGCTTTCTTTTTTTTGTTTGCCAGAACCTTCCAATTCATTTTTACGACAAACTGTATTTCGTTCTGATGAAATTTCTCCACCAATAATTGATCGACATACCACTAATCTACTTGATTTTTGCATGAATTCAAATGTTGATCAATTTACACATATAAGAAGTAATTTAGATAAAACAACTATTCATGGAGATGATTTAGAGTCTGGAGAATCACGTGGACTCACTAATCGGCAAGTTCAACAATCTCAAGAAGAATTGGAAGAAGATTTGCTTGCTCCAGAACTTTCTATCATTGCAAGCTCTAACACTGCTGTCAGTTCTGATGGTGTTCTAGTATCTACATTGACAGATACTGGAACAATGTTATCGTCAGGTAGCAGTCGACGAAAATCTCCTGTTAGACCAATGCAAGTGTTGAGAACAAAAACTACGCATACTAACTCTACAACACCAGCGCCTACCAATGCATCACCGACTATGTTAGTGACAGGTTCTGACAATAGGTAAATTGAATATTTTGATCTATAGTTTTTTTTTTTACAAATCTTATTGTCAGCTGATAAATAACTAAACTTGTGTTGTTGTTTTTAAATTGTAGCCCATTTGTTTTCACATCACCATCAGTGGTTACAAATTCTGTATATACCAGATCATTATCCGACTTAGATCTTGGCCATGATGGTGATGTGTTAACCTCTGGATTATGCTCTGTATTATCTGGCAATAATTCACAATCACTTGGTGAATCGAATCAACCTTTAGAAAATACTAGTAGTAATTATGTTGTAAACAATGCAGAAATGGAAATTCACTCGATAAATGATCATTCACATCAAATTTTATCATCTGGACCACCACCGCCACCGCCACAACAACCACTAACATCGATATGCATGAGTAGTAGTAGTAGTAGTGGTTCAATCACACAAATTCCAATTTCTATGGATAGTTCCATTGTATCAAAAGGAGGAGGAAATACAACAGTCTCATCTGGTTTATTACCATCACTTCTTACTCAGTCGACGACACGTCCAGGTAAATAATGATGCATGAATGAATGATTTATCGCATGTCTGGTCTTCTCTCTTTTTTTGTTTTCATGTGTGTATTTCAATATTCAATTGATCAAAAACAAATTGCCCACTTACAGTCAGATCAATCGATGAAGTGGTGAAACTTCATCAGTTGAGGTGGTTGGGACATGTGTTACGTATGCCTAACCACCGACTGCCTCGACAAGCTATGTTTTGTGGTGTAGGAGTAGGTTGGAAGAAAGTTAGGGGCGGCCAGACCAAAACATGGCAGAAATCCATGAAGTCACTGACAAGTGGACTGAGTCATGTTGATAGATGTAGACTACCTGGTTGGGGTCCGCGAGACGAAAGTCATCAATGGTTAGAGACGTTGAACGACATGGCTCAAAATCGCTTGCAATGGCGCAAGTGCATCCACTCTTTGAGCTCTCTCAAATCCTAATCTTCTGGATTAGCCAGCACCTCTACCTTTGTCTTTCTAACCTTATCTCACTGAATTATATTTTTTGAGTAATATCTTAAACCCTAGTCTTCTTTATTATAACATTTGATTTTGAACAATTTTGTCTCGTGTGCTGTTGCGGGTATGAGGACGGTTATCACTTCCCGGCTGCCCACACCGTGGAAGGTTGTTTCTTGACGAACCTGAAAAGGAAGATGGATTAGTGTTCGTGCGTGACCGCAGAGTCCAAGGGACAACTGCTTCAGGCCGGTCACGCACGGCCTTTTTATGAGAGGTATTTAGAGGATTAGCTCCGTTCTTAAAGGCCCTTAGTGAGCACCCTTACCCAAGGAGACGGAAATCCGTGAGGTAGGGGAGGTGTGAAATTTTTAGGGCCGACCTTTTCTAACCCTTCCTTCCTTGTGAGAAGGCAGCATCGCTGCAGATGCTGGTTGTCCGAGGGAAACACCTTACTGCTGTCACACCCCTCTGCAGTCAGCAGTACGACTTCGCCCTCAGACCTTGGGTAGCTGCTTTTAGTCTCATCGTTCTCCAATCGACCAGCCTGGCATGGTAGGACCTGCAGGAACATGTGTTCCAGCCAGTATAGCTCGGTTGGGTCATCACGATAGGCAAGCCCGACCACCACGTCAAGGTAGCAGCTTCCTGTGGTGGTGGCAGCTCCTGTTTTGTGGTGTAGGAGTAGGTTGGAAGAAAGCTAGGGGCGGCCAGACCAAAACATGGCAGAAATCCATGAAGTCACTGACAAGTGGACTGAGTCATGTTGGTAGATGTAGACTACCTGGTTGGGGTCCGCGAGACGAAAGTCATCAATGGTTAGAGACGTTGAACGACATGGCTCAAAATCGTTTGCAATGGCGCAGGTGCATCCACTCTTTGAGCTCTCTCAAATCCTAATCTTCTGGATTAGCCAGTACCTCTACCTTTGTCTTTCTAACCTTATCTCACTGAATTATATTTTTTGAATAATATCTTAAACCCTAGTCTTCTTTATTATAATATTAATACCTCTACCATCTTTATCACTATGGGATTTGATTTGACATTTGCGTCTCTGTGCTAATAATGTGGTATGGCAACATGAACTTATGTACATACGTACGAAGTTCTACGTTGCAACTGACTGACTGACTTATTATAACATTAATACCTCTACAATCTTTATCACTATGGGATTTGATTTGACATTTGCGTCTCTGTGCTAATAATGTGGTATGGCAACATGAACTGATGTACATACGTACGAAGTTCTACGTTGCAACTGACTGACTGACTGACTTACAGTCAGTTAGTTGCAACGTAAGAACTTCGTACATATGTACTACATAAGTTCATGTTGCCATACTACCACATTAACACAGAGACGCAAATGTCAAATCAAATCACATAGTGATAGTAGAGATAGTAGAGGTATTAATGGTAACGAAGAAGACTAGGGTTTGAAAATGTTATTCAAGAAGTATAATTCAGTGAGATAAGGTTAGAAAGATAAAGAAGGTAGAGGTGCTGACGATTCTAGAAGATTAGGATTTGCGAGAGCTCAACGAATGGATTCACTTACACCATTGCAAACGATTTTGAGCCATGTCGTTGTTCAAGGTCTCTAACCATTCGTGACTATCGTCTCGCGGACCCTAGCCAGGTAGGTAGTCGATACCTACAAATATGACTCAATCCACTTGTCAGTGACTTCATGGATTTGTGCCATGTTTTGGTCTGGCCGCACCTAGCCTTCTTCTAACCTACTCCTACACCACAAAACATAGCTCGTGAAGGCAGTCGGTGGTTAGCCATACGTAACACATGTCCCAACCACCTCAACTGATGAAGTTTCACCACTTCATCTGTTGATCTTCCTTCCTTACCTAGTTCTCGTTTCCTAACGACAGCATTGCTTACTCGGTTGTCCCACGATATACGAGCAATGCTTCTTAAACATCTATGATCGAATACTAGTAACCTACGAATATCTTCTACTCTTAACGGCCATGTTTCGCATCCATATAGTAGCACGGAGCGAACTGTTGCGCAGTACACTCGTCCTTTGGTTATCGAACAGATATCACGCCTACGCCATAAATGGCGTAAAAATTCCCCACTTACAGAACACTTTAAATAAAGTACACTACCCCCATCCCTCATAGATTTATTCACTAGAATATGTTTGGTTTTCATTATTACTGTTTGTCTTGGTATTGCAGTTAATTTTGTCCAATGTATATGTGTTATGACAAATTAAGCTTATAACAATAAAAATGTATGATTATTTGTTTGAAATTAGATAAAGTTTTACCATGAGGAATTGTTTGAAGCTTTTTAAAATCAAGGAGCATTATACTACTCTAATTCTATTTTAGTACTGCTCAACAGTCCTCAGGTGAACACAGCACCATTCAACAAGAGTCATTATCTAGTCTTTACACCACTACATAACGCAATCGTTCAGCGTCGTCAACAGATATCTGTTTCACTAATGACTTTCTCGAATTTACAAATAAATGTCTATTCCAATGCAAATAACAGATGAATCGTAGATTACTATTCAGATGATGTATAGAAACCATTGAAATCGGTTATACCATCAGTGTGTGGACCATCAGATTCCTGTTTAGTGGCAATTGAATAATTTTGAACTTGTAAGATTTAAAAGTCTTACGATCTACCTTCGTATGGAGTTGTGAGTACCTTTAAGTATGAAGATTCACACCAGAATAAAGTACTTGGGTGCAGCAATGTTTTCGATGCCTCTAGTTGATACATGTTCATGTGAAGAATTTTTTTTGATAAACACAGTTTTATTCTACAAGTTTAATTTATTTTTCAGTGGTTCATGATTGTTTTGGAATGTCTGACTTCACTACTTACTACTGTTACCCCTAATGGAGCATAGTCCACCGATCAGCATTCTTCAGCCTACACTATGCTGGAACTTTCTTTCTAGTTCAATCCTATCGCTATTCATTCTTTTCATGTCTGTTCCCAATTTTCGGCGGAGTGTATTCTTTGGTCTTCCTCCTTTCGTTTAGCCTTGAGGGTTCTATGTGAGGGCTTGTCTTGTGATGCAATCGAATGCTTTCCTCAATGTGTGTCCTATCCACCAACTCCATCGCTTCTTCCTGATTTCCTCCTCCACTAGGATCTGGTTTGTTCTCTCCCACAATAATTTGTTGCTGATGGCGTCTGGCCAACAAATCCGACATATTTTGCGTTGACAACTATTGATAAACGATTTTATCTTATGGATGTTGTCTTTCGTGATTCTCCAAGTTTCCATTCCATACAATAGAATGGTTTTGATGTTTATACTGAAAATTGTGACTTTAGTGTTGGTTGATAGTTGTGATAATTTCCAGATGATCTTCAATTCTAGTGATGTTATCCTTGTTTTGCCGATCCGCATCTTGACGTCTGCTTCAGATTCACCTTGCTCATCGATGTTGCAGCTGCCTAGATATGTAAAGATTTTAACATCTAAAACCCAACCTATTGATGATCCCCTTTTAGGGGCGTATATAAAATATTGAGCTACATAAATGTGCAAATTACCCCCCTGAATTTTTATTTTTGCAATAATTAATAAGATACAATAAACTAATCTTCAATTTAATTCAACCAACAAATTGATCATTATTATTATTAGTAAATTCGTACAAAATGACCGAATTTCTAAAATTCAAACAAAACCACTTAAAATTCCTACATTTTTATAACAAACATATATAGAGAGTTAGACAAAAAAATGTTAAATGCCAAAAATCATGTACTGTTTCGTATTTTATTCTATTTAATTACGTAAACATTGCTATGAAGAGGCACCTAAGTATTTATTTATAAGCCCATACAAATTCATTGATTTGTGTGGGTTGTGTGATAGTGTCAGAATGTATAATAAACGGAAATATGTAGTTTTTTATTTTAGAGATTATTTCCTAAGCTCTTGACCTAAAAGACAATAGAACAATGTTAGCTGGGTGATGTGATCTCATAGTAGCCGGTGACCCAGTTCGTTCCTGTAGGACCGTCTAGCCTTTATGCACCATTGGTTTGGAATGATAGTTCTCCAACCCCCCACCCTTAGGTCGATCTTCTATATCCAGCAACCTGATTTAAGCACCGAACGGACATTTGCATTTCTTGCACTCAGTGTCGTGAATACAATACGCCTACCGCTAAGTACACGTTGCGTCGTGAGAGCATTTTGAAAGAGAGAGAGAGAGAGAGTGGACTTTCTACTCCCTGCTGTACCAGGGAATTCGAAGGTATACATGTACAGTTAAGCGGTCAAGTTTTCAATTTATTATTACTCAAGTTGTTACATATTTTACTGAACTTTAATATTTAGCATAGTTAATAATGTATATGTATATGGTTTTATAGTAATCTTGTTCAATTTTCTCTTCTAGTTTCAGTTGTTCAACAACCTATTATTTCTCGTGTTTTTATGGCGCCAAATACAACACGTTCAATTACAACTCCTGTAACAAAACCTATTATGTCAGTTCCTCATTCTACTCTTGGTTCAGTTTCGTCTCGACGACGTCCTACTATTTTAAAGAGAGCATTAGGAACAGTCAACTCCACAGGTTCTAATTCATTGATCACTTCACGACCAACAACAGGTAAAAAGGTTTTTGAGAAATAAAAATATTCAAATCATAAGGGGGTCGATAAAAAAACTTCTCTCCAACTTTTCAACTAGAATAATATTAGTGTTCATTCGTTCATTCATTGGTTATTTACCATTGATATGTTAATGACTGCTATGAATCAGTTACTTTGGCTTATGTGCATCCCCTGTTATGAACTGTCTCGATACGAATGAAGTGAACTTGACTTCATTGTATAAGCCGTTGGTTACCCTGGACTCAGTATCTAAGTGCGTAACACAAAATAGCCTTTGAAGTGAACGGTATTGGGTCGGAGTCTTGTTGTGGACCTTAACTTTGAGATTTCTGGTACATCTAACTGAAGAGTCCCAGATAGGACGAAACGCACCTCCTGGATTCCACTGTTAACCACATCATTTCATCTGTGCTAGACATTCTATTTTGAACTCTGCAGTGCGAACATCAACAATTGATCCCAACTGACGATCTTAAAGTGGGGAAAAATGAAGATCCTCGATCACACAATCCAAATATCGTTTAAATTATTTGTTGGGGATGTTAGATCCCCAAAACTCGCTTGATAAATAAATGCCTTACTTTTGATTTCACGTATGTGAGCATGAGCTGATCAGTTGACCTTGAGATTTCATTACCCACCAGGAAAATCCATGGTTGTGATTGGCTGCTGTGTATTTTAGTGTGATATTTTCGTAACTGTCCCAAGGACGTTTCTATGATGTATAAATAGACGAGAGTTGTATGCTTGATTGTATTGTGATTGCTGGGTGTTTGTAGAATATACTACCTACGCCTTCTGTTTACATCTTGGGATTCAAGGTAGCCTATCTGGACGCTGGTAATTGTCTCGTTCGCGTTTATCTACCAAGGTAAACTCGTAATAGCTTCAAGCGTACCTAGTGACAAACGTAACATTATTTTAATGATCATTCTGTGTTGAATCAGTCCATTTAATATGTACTGTCTATTATATTAACCGATAATTGACAAGCTATCCGTTTCTCAAAAGCAAGTAACGTAAAAACACGTCAACTTTCAACGATAGTTAAGTGTTTTGATTTATATTGTATTCTTTCCTACTTGAGATCACAAAATTTTCCCCCGTTAAATTCCCAATGTTTTTTAATTGTGGTTGGAGTCCGCAAGACGATAGTCACCAATGGTTAGAAACCTTGAACAACGACATGACTCAAAATCGTTTGCAATGGCGCAAGTGCATCTATTCGTTGTGCTCTCGCAAATCCTAATCTTCTAGAATCGTCAGCACCTCTACCTTCTTTGTCTTGCTAACATTATCTCACTGAATTATACTTCTTGAATAATATCTTCAAACCCTAGTCTTCTTCATTACCATTAATACCTCTACTATCTCTATCACTATTGGATTTGATTTGACATTTGCCTCTCTGTGCCAATGTGGTATGGCAACCTGAACTTATGTACATACGTACGAAGTTCTTACGTTGCAACTGACTGACTGCTGAAATTCCCCAATGTTTTCATCGGTAATCTTTTTTTGTTTGTTTAGTTTTTGAACAACCATCCGATAATGATGTGGATTTGTCGTCAACATCATCATCATCTATTAGTCGTACTATTGGTGTATTTAATTCCGGTTGTAGTAGTAGTAGTACTGGACAATTAACAAAATCTATCAATTCAATAACTATAGATGAATCTGCTTTATCTGGTAATTTTACAAATACATCTACAAAATTATTACAATTAGTTACTACTACAAATCCAACCACATCAACAATTCCTTCTGAACATTTAAATCCTAATCAAACTGCTAGTGATCGTTTATTTGGTAAACGTCTTTTAGCTTATAATAGAAATATTACATCACATACTACTACTACTCCTAATCATAATAATCATAATAATACTAATTCAATGTCAACAAATATTACTCCACCGAATTCAGGGACAACTCATCATCATCATCATCAACATCATCCAGGTTCAGCGCCAACAAGTATGTTCAATGTGTAGTGTTTATTTAATACTTACTTGAAATATATATGCTCTTTTTTTTTGATTTGAAAGAGTTGATGTTTTTTTTTAAACCATTGTTTCATGTTAAAAATGCCCGACCTTAGCTGCTAGCTTGACGTGGTGGTCGGGCTTACCGATCGTGATGACCCAACCGAGCTATACTGGCTGGAACATATATTCCTGGAGGTTCTACCATGCCAGACAGGTCGATTGGAGAACAATGAGACTAAAAGCAAGCTACGCAAGGTCTGAGGGCGAAGTCGTACTGCTGACTACTGCAGAGGGGTGTGACAGCAGTAAGGTGTTTCCCTCGGACAACCAGCATCTGCAGTGATGCTGCCTTCTCACAAGGAAGGAAGGGTTAGAAAAGGTCGACCCTAAAAATGTCAAACCTCCCCTACCTCACGGATTTCCGTCTCCTTGGGTAAGGGTGCCCACTAGGGCCTTTAAGAACGGAGCTAATCCTCTAAATACCTTTCATAAAAAGGCCATGCGTGACCGGCCTCAAGCAGTTGTTCCTTGGGCTCTGCGGTCACGCAACCAGGTCTCCAAGACCAACACTAATCTGTCTCCCTTTTCAGGTCCCTCAAGAAACAACCTTCCACGGTGTGGGCAGCCGGGAAGTGACAACCGCCCTCATACCCGTAACAGCACGCCACCTGTTAAAAATGTCAGTTTATCAGTCTCAAATTGTTTTTCATAAGCAAAGTATAATTCCCAAATACCATAGTGTGCAGTCGAGAGTTGTGGATAGAATCTGATCTCCCTCTCTTATATGATCATGTCAACATAGCTACTGTCAAGGAAATTTCTCACTGCATTCATAGTTACAAAAAGTGAATGTCTAGTCGTGGGAATTAAAGCGAGTTGTTCAGTCAGTCAACCAACTACAACGTAGGACTTTGTACGGAGGATCCACTTAGGGGAGTTGAAAAGCCCTAATTGCAAACCAATAGTGAACATGAGCTCCGAGATTCTGAGGGAACAAATAGTGTTTTACCAGTTTGTGAGAATCATTTCACAAAATATACTTGTTAAGTTCTATGATCCTAGCTCTACTACTATTCGCAATGACTATATAAAACTGTGGTGCAGTTTCGTTCTCTGACCTGGATGTTTTGGTTGTGGAGATTTCATTGCTTTTCCGCTGAATAACATCATCAGCACAAACTTCAGGTAGATGAAGTGAAGTATTCGAATTTCTCCATATATGACCTGTAGCTTGTTCTGTTGACCTCGATCTTAATTGGTTGTCAATAGCCTTAAACTTGTCATTGTTTGCACCTTTGTTCTGATTGTATCCGACCTTTGATCTATTTCTTGATCTTATGTTTGTCTTTGATTTTTTCTGATTGGTTGATAAATTGGGTCAATGTCGATGTGTTTATTGATTGCTGAAATCAATCATAGGATTAAAAAAGAGATCAAATAAGGATATAATAAAAATAAAGAGGCAGAGAACGCCAGGTTTAAGGTCAATCAAAACCAATCAAGATCGAGGTTAACAGAACTAGCTACAAGTCACTACTTACTTTCGCCTGTTACCCCCAATGGAGCATAGGTCGCCCACTAGTTTTCTTCAGCCAACTCTGTCCTGGGCTTCTCTTTCTAGTTCTGTCCAATGTTTGTTCGTTCTTCTCATGTCTTTCACTATTTCTCGGCGTAATGTGTTCCTTGGCCTTCCTCTTTTCCTTTTGCCTTGAGTGTTTCATGTGAGGGCTTGTCTAGCTACTAGTCATACGTGGATAAATTCGAATACTTGACTTCTGTCCCGGAGTTTGTGCTGACAATGATGACTTCAGAAGATGTACAATGAAAGCTCCACAACCAAAACAGCATCCATCTCAGAGAACAAAACTCCGCCACAATCATCATTCATCTGAGCTACAAATTTTCTTCATCATCTCAAAATAGCTATATGAAATTTAATAAGAATACTCACTATTCTGTAGTACTGACGGTGTGATCACATTGACTGTGACAAGAAAAATTTAGATAGGATGACCTTAGTAGCTAAATAACTACTAATAAATGGTTCCTGTGTGGTGAAGGAGAACACAGGTAAGGGCAACCGAATTGTATTTAACGAAAACTACAGAGTTACTCAGTAAAATAGGAAAACCATATCGTAACCGTTAATTTGTAAATCTTCAATCCATTGTCTGACATTTCACTCACTGTTCATGCGTTTCATACAAATTCCATTGTGTTCCTACTCTTCCTTTCTTGCTTGATCTTCCCCCCCATCTTCTGCTGCCAGACATTACGTTTACACTCACGTCATATACTACTTATAAGTAGCTCACACCACACTCGTCCCCCCTTTTAATAAGCTGTCGTCACTTTCAGAACAGGGACCCTGGTTAGTTAATATCACCTTCCGTATTCCGTGACGCGCTAAAATATGCAGGATTACTACTTTGGTCATTGTTCTTGCCCGCTGGTCTGGAATGGGTACGGCATCTATCCAACGTGTAGCGTTTACTAGTTCCCGCTGCTGGGAGGCGGCGGCAGGCATACTCTCGATAACTTGCGACGCCAACAACTGTGCTCCTGACTCCCCATCTCTACTCGGCAGCGTACGGCGCAGCAACATCGTGAGCTACACAGCCAGCACCAACGGGTCACCATCAGCCGACAGCCTTGCCAACGGGAACCTCTGCGGCGCCTCCTCCCTGTCCACCGGGCTGTCAAACTCCGTCATCAGCCGCCCAGTGACCGTCTCCCACGCCCTCTTCCCGGCGTCACCGTCCAGACTGTCGTATACCGCCTCCGCCCCACCTCCCCGCAGCGTCCCCAGCACCACCAACACCGCCCCGGGCCTCTTCACACCCACCAGCTCCACCGCGGCCTCACACTCCTCCAGAAATCTCCGCAAATCTCCGTCCTCCAACTCCTTCGGCCACGGGAGCTCCTTCCTTCGGGAAGGCAGCGACACCAAATGTGGTGAGAGAGAACACAGGTGGGGCAACCGGACTGTATTTAACGAAAATTACAGAGTTACTCAGTAAAATAGGAAAACCATATCGTAAATTGTTAATTTGCAAAATATCAGTTCATCATATCGAACTGGACTGTTCCTGTTGCAAAACATCTGCTGCCAGACATTACGTTTACACTCGCGTCATATACGACTTATAAGTAGCGCGCACCACACCTCTACTATGCATTTTTGTACATTTTCTACACGCAAACTTATATTTCGGATCTGGTATCAATCAATGTTAAACGCAGTTATTGATCATAAGTTTTTTTTCTCTGATACATTTCACAAGAGTTCATCCCTAAAAAATAATGTGTATAGAGTTGTGAAGTGAAGTATTTTTTCAAGAAGAAATCGTTCAACAAATTGTTACGTTTTTTTTGAATCTCTGTTATTTAGCAACGATTACACATAAGTTTATGTTTTTGTTAAATTCGAATTGACAATTCTATCTCTCTGTTTACTAATATGGTGGTATAGCCGAATCGAACTGATGTACGCAGTAAGTACCAAGTTGTACGTTGTAGCTAGCCGCTGCTGATCTCCAACTATTTGACATGTGAATAGTGTTGGAGACGTTAGATCTTCAGAACTCACTTGATAATTGTCCTAATTTTGGATTATATGCTTTCGCGTATGGGCCGATCTATTGATCTTGAGATTACATTTCCCACCCTGAAAATCCTTGGTTGTTATTGGCTGATGTATTATTTTAGTACGCTATTTTGTGGCTCTCTCAAGAACGTTTCTGTGATGTATAAATAAGCTGGATTTGTGTGTTTGTAGAATACACTTTCTACATCTTGTCAAGACTTCTTGCTCTAGTTAGTTGGAGCCTTAGGACTCTCGGATTAGCGTAGCGTGTCATGTCACAGGATCATTTGTCTTCGCTCGCCTTTGCTGACTAAGATGAACTGGTCGTTGTTTCAAGCATATCAATTGACGAGCATAACAAATAGTACACGCGAAATCGAATGATTTAGATTGATGTCGTCTACACTGCAACCTGATCGATAGAATCCAATGATATTTCTATTACCTCTATTACTCTATACGGTTTGAATTGAAGATTCCATCTCTCTCTCTCTCTGTATACTAATATGGTATGACAATTCGAACTGATCTACGTAGTACGTACCAAGTCCTACGTTGCTGCAGCTAGCTGACTGCTGACTACTGACTCATAAATATGAATAACAAGAAGGCTAATAATAATTTGTGTGAAACAATACGAGTTTTTTTGTTTTTCAACGAAACCTAATTGATTCATCAATCCTTACACGCGTATGTATGTATGTATGTGTGTGTGTACACATGTTTTTATCTATTTTCAGATACAACAATTAATACTGCAACTCCTTATCGATATGCTGTTGTTCGAGGCTCAGCTGATGGGAAACAATATGTTTTGATAAGTAATCCTCGTCTGGTTGATCAAACAGTAAGTTTTTTCTCACTATTGTGAATATTCAAATTACTAAGTATATATATATATATATATATATATATATATATATATATATATATATGAATATGTTGAAAGTGGTAGGTTATAGCCATTTCACATCTCGCAGTCCTAGTGAGAAGCCGTAATCAGTAGTGGAGTTCAACCCCCTCGGTCGAGTGTATTAGGCAGTAACTATCGAAGAGAAACGAGTGAGGTTGCTCAAGATCTGTAGATTGTGATCAGAGTTGAACATGAACACCGTTGGATGCCAATGGTGTCAATGGTCCTGAGGTGAAACGTTCACCAGCAAGACTCAAGATCCTCGGTTTGAGCGCTGCGAGTAGCAGAAGTCGTGGATGCGCACTGGTGTCGAGTAGTAATCGCGTACACTAAGACGAAACGGCCGTCTTTCAGTACTTCCAGGTTTCTTCTAATGGTCGTTTAACAATAACTAACTCATTCATCAAAATAATGTTCATTTCTAATGTTTTATTTTTCCTTAATTTCTCTATTCAAGGTTCATGAACAACAACATCAGCAATCGATAGCAACACTGACTACCGCTGTAAATGATGCAACCTCCTTAGAACCTGTGTATGTTTCAACAACACCTACAATTATTGAAAATTTCCATTCGGATTTATTTCCTCTTGATTCGTGTACTACTAATAGTAATAATAGTAGTAGTATATCCAGAGCGTTCAAAGTTGAAATCAACGGTGCTCATTTAATTCGAATGAATCCAGACGGTCATAATAATAATAATAACAATACAATATCTGAAAATAATCGACCAATTCGAACAATCTACACAACACTACCACAAGGTGCTACAACAATGGCAGCTACATAAATTTTAATGATTGGCAGTAGACGGAAACAAATAAACAAACTTATCCCCTCTTGTTTCAGTTTTATTTCATTTCGGTAGCCGCCTCCTCTCCTACAGCCCCCCATCGCCCCGCCCCAGTCATACAATTTATTTTCTTTTTGCCCGATTTTTGATTCAATTTTGTGTTTCCATCCTAGTCTCCGGTATTTATATATATATACATATATACATATATATCAACACACCTCCTTACTCACTCACTCACTCACTCGTTCACTCAATCACCCATACACATACACACACTCGCTCTCTCTCTCTCTCTGTTTGTCTGTCCGCCCACGAATGCCTTCTTCGTTTGCTTTTTCGGTCCAATGCCGACCGACTATCTGTATTCATTCATCATCTCTCTCTCTATATATACATGTATTTCTCAGTTGGGTTTGTCAGAATACACAAACTTCTTCTTCTATTTGTGTTTGTGTGAATATTTATACCCCATGTGAAATCTTGTAAAACATTTAACTTGGTAGTGTCCTTCTTCTTCATCTTCTTTCTTAATGGATATCACACTCGTTTATATATATATAAATACACACATATATACTGCGCCTTTATGCACACATTGGTTTTCGTCTTCTTGTTCTTTGTTCTCTGTTTGTTTCTTTTCCTAGTGTGTTTGTGTGTGTGTGTGCGTTTTTCAAATTTATTGTTATTTTTGTTCGATTTTTTCTCGTCACTTTGGGTTGTCTTTTTTTGCTGTTTTTTTTTGCGTTACACATTATGAGAAGTTGCATAATGTTCCTTTTTTTGTTTTGTAATGATGTAGCTTCTATAGTTTAATAATCATTCATACACACACTCACACTATTCAAATTGGTATTAAAGTAGTCGACTGAGCATTCTCATTCATCTATTGTACTTTATTTACTCTATATATTACTTTTTTTCTACGTGTATGTGTGTGTGTGTGTGGCTGTGTGGAAATCGAGAAACACCAGTACACCACCCACTATCTCTTCAAAAGTAAAACTTTCTAATATTCATTGAGTGTGAATTGTGTTGTGTTATTATTATTATTCTTATCAATATGAATATCGGTAATGTGATATAAATTTAATATTATCTATCTATCTATCTATATATATATATATATATATATATATATATATATATATATATACGTCAAAAAACAAACAATTTTTCAAACGATACATTTATATATATATACATATAGTGTTGTCATTGTTTTCTTTGCTTTCTCCAGTGAATGGATCAACCAGTAGGATTGATTGTGTGTGTGTGTGCGCTGCAGATTGTGTTCGATATATGTGAATATCAAGAACATCACAGTGAATGTATATTTGGTTGCTGATTGTAGCTGATATCTTGACGTGGTGTTCGGGTTTGCCTATCGTGATGACTCAGTCGAGGTATATTGGCTGGAATATATATGTTCCTGTAGGTTCTACTGCTATGCCAGGCAGCTACCCAAGGTCTGAGGGCGAAGTCGTACTGCTAACTGTGATGGAAGGGTGTGACAGCAGTAAGGTGTTTCCCTCGGACAACCACCATCTGCAGTGATGCTGCTTCTTGCAAGAAAGAAAGGGTTAGGAAAGGTCGACCCTAAAAATGTCCCACCTCACCTTACCTCACGGATATACGTCTCAGCTGGTAAGGCCTTTTAAACAAAGGCGAAGCTAACACTTCAAAAACTTCTCATAAAACGGTCGTGCGTGACCGGCCTCAAGCAGTTGTCCCTTGGGCTCTGCGGTCACGCACCCAGGTCTCTAAGACCTGGCGCTAATCTATTTTTCCTTTTTAGGTTCCTCAAGAAACACCCTTCCACGGTGTGGGCAGTCGGGGAGTGACATTCGCACTCGTACCAGCAAGCGAGACCAGATTGGTCACAAACAAATCCTTGCTACACCCTGTAACTTATCTCCACGATTAACTCTACTCACATTCCTTTATCACTCTATACCGCTAACGCAAACAATGTGAGCATACGAAACGTCATCCCTGGTCTCCTGAAACCTCGTTCCAAATTACATATTGGAGCATTTAATATACGGACATTGTGTCAAACAGGGCAACAGGCTTCCTTAGCTAGGACTTTAGAATCTCTGGCCATAGCTGTGTGCTGCGTCTCGGAAACGCGCATACAGGATCCAAGTAAAATCATTAGTTTGATTTCACCTCATCAGAATAAAGAACCAACCTCGTTTACTGTCCATGTATCCAAAAGCCCTGATTTTGCTTCCCGGGGTCACGCTAGCGTGCGTATAGCATCGAGTCGTAGGGCAGAACTATCTCTCATAGACTGGATCCCTGTAGATATTCGCTTGTGCGCTATCCGACTGAGCGGAACAGTAAGGACTCGGAAAGATAGGGACACCCGTCGTCGCCTCTTCGTTGTATATGCCTGTGAGTCCACTGACTGCAGTTCAGACGAGATGAGTTTCACAGAAAGCTTTCGGATATAGTAGTTGTGGCTGGTGACTTCAATGCTCATGTAGGTAGACTAAGTGAAAAGGAAAGATGTCTGGGTGGATTTTATGGTGTCGCGGCTCGGAGAACAGATAGTGGCGACCATCTGCTGCAACTATGCTCAGAAAATCGCCTATTTTTAGCAAACGCCAACTTTAAGCACAACAGAAAACATATTTTTTCATAGCGACTTTCCCGACACAACACTGGACCCAACTTGACTACATTGCTTATCAACCATCGATAGAGAGGCTCCATTGAATTCTGACGCTCGTTCTGAAGCACCTGTTTAGATTCAGACCATGCTCCAGTGCTGGCGTGTATTTGTTTGTGACTTACTGGACGTAGGAAAGACACCGCCAGGAAATCTCTTAGGATTCTTCCTAATGATACAAGAGGTAAGAACATATTTCAGGAGAAACTAGAAAAACATTTAGGCGGCCATTTTAGCGAATCCCATCACGGGGCAGCTTGGAACAATATCCAGAATCCGGAAACAGTGATATCTACTGTAAACCATGAGGTTAAGGATTAACCGTGGATTTCAGTGGCATCTACCGAATCGATAGATGCTCGGAAACTCATCCCATTCGGCCCTGTACATTACGAAGAGCGAAGTCAGCTTATAAAAAGCCTACGCAATGATCGCGAATAGTGGTGGGTAGCGGAAGCAAGAGTGATGATAGGCAATGGTGGACAACTGTCACGACTTATGAAAGAAATTGGTACTAGGAATCCATCTGTTAGCGAGACTATTTCAGAAAAGGATTATCGTACTATTCATTCTCAACCTAGGAGATTGGATCGTGTGGCCTTCAGCCGCACTTCAGTTACCCAAGGTCTCGTGTTAACCTGAATGGCAAACCGATTTAAGTTCTCGGACTTTAACTAAGGTTGTAAAACCTATAGTAAATCTGAAGCAAGGTCAAGCTTCAGGGCCTGATAGCCCTACGCCTGAGATCTTTGATGATGGTGGTCCAGTTTTAACAGTTAGATTGACTGAGATCTTAGGTAGAATCTGGAAATTGGACTTAATCCGATCTGACTAGTCTCAATCACTGATTGTCCCAATTTGTAAGAAAGGAAAAAAGTCTTCTTGTGACAATCACAGGGGAATCAGTCTGAGTAATATAGTATTGAAAATATTGGCCTAAATAATATTACGATGCCTATTTAGAGCTCGTGCAGAACAGACTAGAGAAAACCAGGCTGGTTTTCGATCTAGACGTGGATGTAGAGACCAAATCTTCACACTACGTCAGGTCCTTGAACAAAAACACCTTCAGACGTCCCACAATGGTAGTATTTCTCGACCTTAAAACAGCATTTTACTCTGTTGATCGTGAGGTTCTGTGGCAGTGTGTCATTAAAACGTGTACCAGGGAAGTACATTAACCTTATATAAGCTCTCTACTCGAACACCACTGGTCGGGTGAGAGCCTATGACGATCTGTCATCGGAATTATTTACTTCAAGTGATGTCCGTCAGGGCTATCCACCTTCTCCTTGTTTAACTTTTCATAGACATGCTTTCAGAGTTAACATCATCTTCTCCTGACTTTTCAGGAGTAGACCTACCAAGAGGCTCGCTTATCGACTTAGAATATGCCGATGACATAGTCCTACTTCGTGAAGACGCTGACAAAATGCAGAGTCTTCTGACCACCCTAAGCAACAATGCAAGCATGTTCGGGATGCGGTTTTCCCCCCTTCGAAATGCAAAATGTTGCTTCAGGATTGGGTTGCATCGGCACCTGAACTAGTGATAGGGAGTGAAGTATTTGGGCATGTTGACCGAGAATACTAAGGTAGCGTTGGCTAATCAATAGATGAAGTATTGAAACTTCATCACTTGAGGTGTTTGGGACATGTGTTATGAATGTCCAACCACCACCTGCCTAGACGAGCGATATTTTGCAGTGTACGAGTAGGTTGGAAGAAATCTAAGAGCGGCCAAAGCAAAGTTACCTCACTGAATAAAACTTCTTGAATCATATCTTCGAACCCTAATCTTCTCCATTATCGCTTATATTCCCACTATCTCTACCACTATGAGATTTGAACTGACAATTGCATCTCTGTGCTAATGTGGTATGGCGACGTGAACTGATGTAAGTACGTGCGAAGTTTCACGTTGTAACTAACTGATTGACCAAGTACATGTTGCTTCCTATTGGTCGCCTTAATTGTCAGTTTCACAGACTTCGATACTGTTTCCTATTCGACCAAAATTTATAAAAACGCATTATCTGTTATATTTTATGACCAGGATCCGGTCCCGGATCCCTAGTCCGTTATCCTGATTCTCTTCTGGATTCGGACCTCGTACTTTCTGGATGCTTGTAAAATACAGGTTCTGTATCATATCAAGTCTTCTTCTTTTATCCAATGGGGGGTTGGGACACTCGGATTAGATTAGCATGTCGTGTCGCCTGACTCTCGATCCTCGTTCTCGTTTTCCGACTAGGTGAACTCGTAATAGTTCAAGCATATCAAAATGACCTGTTTACATGCAGGCGTAACACTCTGTATAATAGTCCAAAAAATACATTTTTCTGATCATACTAGTCATGAATGCCAAAATGTCAAACCGCTGTAGGGCGATTCTCTCTTAACTAGTTAATTCAGAAATCCCGGATTGCGATATGCTATTTCTAAACGAAGCATCTTACAGGTTTTCTTTTAGTTTTCTTTATGTAAGACATGTATAGGACCGTACTGTTCGGTTCTGAATTATTCGAGTCACCTTTGCAACAACCGACTCACTGATCAATCTTCCTAGGTGTACATACGTTTAGCGTAGTATAACATAACTGCTTCGACAAGCTTTGTTTTGTAGTGTAGGAATAGGTTGGAAGAAAGTTAGGGGCGGCCAAACCAAAACATGGCACAAATCCATGAAATCATTGACGAGTGGACTTAGGCATGTCAGTAGTTGTCGACTACCTGTTTGGGGTCCGGGAGATGATAATAATCGATGGTTAGAGACCTTGAATGACATGACTCAAAATCGTTCGCAACGGCACCGGTGCATTCATTCTTTGTGTTCTCTCAAATCCTAATCTTCTGGATTTGACTTTGTAAACTTTTCTCATTGAATCAAACTTCTTGAATAATATCTTCTAATCCTAACCTCTCCGATTACTTCTAATACCTTTACTACCTCTTCTACTATTGGATTTGAATTGACAATTATATCTCTGTGCTGATGTGGTATGGTAACATGAACTGATGTACTTACGTACGAAGTTCTACGTTGCATCTGACTGACTGACTGACTAATTAGGGTTCAATGTTTTCTAGTGATCCGATATATTGAGGCAGGAGCTGAAAACGTCAAGCGACTAGTGAGTGGAGAGGAGCATTTAAGTTCATAAACAAAAAATCTACAGACAACTTACCATTGGCAGCGAAAGAAGCTGCTCACTGACGTCCAAATAACACCTAAAGACTTCATGACACTACAATTCATTGTTAAAAATTCAGTTGGATGGAATCCATCACTCTACATCAAAGTTAAAGTATTTGGTAGCATGGACAGAATGACAGTGTAGAGGCTTCTTAGACATTACGGTATACTTGAGAAGACAGACCACATCATACAGAATTCATAGGATGGATTAAACTGACAACTCGTGCATGGAGGACAACTCACAAACTCATTCCATTTGA